TATTCTAAATATCAATATCAGTATTTTGGTCTTTTACAAAGAGTAACTTTAAAGCAGGGATGAGCACATAGCCTGCAGTACAATTCCTTTCCCCCTCTTTAATAATGGAGGTATTTTTGTGAACAAGTCCTTTTTTTTTTTTTTTTTTTTTCATTTTGCCCTTGATTTCAAAAAGTTTGGCAGACTTGCTTTAGACCTTGTATTGTATTGCAAGTGTTCCATGCAGAAAAAGATGGAGTTTAGTTTTCTTTGACTTCAGAAAGATTGAGAAGAGCATAGGCAATTGCTTTAACTTATTCAGTTCTGTTTGTCGATGGACTCTTATTTTGTTCGTTGATTATTTTAAAGTGTTTAATTTTCATTTAAAGATATAAGTATGAACTCTATACTAATTTTTGGCATTTATCTTTATGAATAAGTTTTAGCTGGTTACTTGTGGCTATCAGAATGTCAAGTAAGATGCTATTTATTTTAATCATTTTATACATATCTTGTGTTTGGCTTTCTTCAGTAGTTACTCTGTTAATTTTTGGTTTCTCCTGATAGGACTCAGTGGCCGTTTTGCATTCCATTTCTTTACATTTTAGTGTTTGTGTATAAAATGTTTAAATTCTTTAACTACAACTGACTAATGTGTCTATTGTCTCTATCTAGAAAATTTGTACCTATAATCACAATGGATTGTTGTCTTACATAAAACAGCTCTTACTGTTCTTCAAAGTGATCCCTTGCTGGAAATGTACATCTGGGAACAACTGTACAATGAAAATTCCTGGCATAGTCATTTTAAAGACTCTTTTCAGCTGGCTCGTAACATTACATTGGATGTCTGAAATGTCCAAAAACCTTCAGGGCTGATTTCACAGAAGAAAAAAATCTCAGAAGTAAGGTTGGTCATTCAGGAACACAACTCCCCTGTTGTCCAGGAATTGTTATAATAGAAAGGCAGTGTGTGGCCAGGCATTGTTGTGAAGCAGGGTCCTGTTGCCTTGCTTTGCATACTAGGGGTGTACCCACTTAATCTGTCAAACAGACATTTCAGTATTTTTACATAGGTAGCAGCATTTAACATTTGTTCCAGTGTCTAAGTGTGGGGCATGAGTCGGAAAAAATTTTGGATCACTATGCGGTGGGCCATCTCAGGACCAATTCCTACTTTTTCTGTTATTATTTGCACTGTCACACAACGATCCTGGGCCAAAAGTTCCTTCACTTTCTGTACGTTGTGCAGGGTGCATGGAGTTTCAAGCCAACCACCTCAGGGTGAGTTTTCAGTGGTGTCACGCCCTTCTCAGAAATGTTTAAACCACTCACACACACACTTCAAAGTGACAGCATATTCTTTGTAAACTATTATTGGCATTTCATGAGTCTCCTCTGCTGATTTTCCATGTTCGAAACGGAGCATCATGTTCCTTTGCTGATCCATTTTGTGTTTCGACCGCATGCATAATACCTTCACTCTACAATATGCGGTTTCCACATGTTAAACACACTCACAGTGCTGTTGCTGTGAAACTGGTTGAGACTAGTCTTGTCCTGTCTGGTGTGGGATGCACCGGTTGCACACTCTTACAAATGTGATTACTATCATGTTATTCACCGAACTTTCTGGACAGAGGTTCAGGAAGCTTATTGAATGTGTCTATAGCCTTCATGGCTATCTCTCTACAGTATTCATTACAACTTCTGTTCTGAAGTTAGCTTGCATATTATTACAATAAGAAAGTTTATTGTCTAATCTTGCATACTTTAAAACATCAGATTTATAAAGATTTTTCTAGTTTATTGTTAAATTCAGTTACACATTCTAGTTTACTGTTAAATTTTGTTTTGACTTCTTATTTCCCGTTTTGATTATACAGTCAAAAGTCGTTAATTCAGACGTCAAAGCTACAAACTTTCTGCGCATGCGTCGCACTGACGTTGCACATAAGGCCTTTACGGCTGTGAATATGCATGTGTGCATGCCCAAAATACGTTTACGCATGCGCGTTTAATGTATAACGGACGGTATAAGCTAAGCTAAAATTATCTAATTCAGTTAATGTTGCAGATTGCGTTGTTCCTTATTCTTCGAATTGGATCCAGCTTATTATTTTTTGCAGACTGTTAGTGCAGTTTTATAAAAGTAAGCTTGAACTTTCGATTATGTCAAATAGAATTTCCAATATATATTTACTAATATGTAAAGGATCTACGAAGCGAAAGTATGTTTCCATTAAACAAAAGTCCATTGAACAAAAAGTGGAATTGCTGCAAAAATGGATAAAGGCATATCCTTTGTTTATCTAACCATTCCGAAATCTGTTTATCAATTTCACGCTGCTCTGCGGCAGGGGGACCCTGCGGCGTGCAATGAATTGGAAGTTGATCTGTCAGCACTATCTTTATCGGTCAGCGCAGATGTTTTTATTTTATTTGGCTTATAATTCTTTACTAAATGTAGTATTTCATCTCAATGTACTCCGTCTTTGTATGATTTAAATCAAATTCCTCGTCATTATAATTCGCTTCCGATAACGAAGAAAGTAAAGTAAACAAATAAATATTAAGCTTTTTTTTTTTTTTGTAAATTTTGATACCCTTTAGATCCTAATTGTTCTTTATTTCATAAATTATGGTTTCATATTTTTAATTTTATAATTTCTGCATGCCATCTTACCAGATTTACACTGATGATCTATAATCCGGAATCGCCGAAGTTCCGACGAGTCCAGATTAACGACTTTTGACTGTAGTAATATAATGTATAGAATATATTCGTAATAAAAAAATAATGCAAATGATATTAAAATGCTGAATCTGCCATAAAATGCTCTAAATATATTAAGAATAGTCACTACCTAACTATGCTAGCATTGGATTCGAAAATGTTTCTCTGTCGGTGGAAAAATCAGACATACGATGATCTAGAATTAGTTAAAAAAGTATTATTTATTTTACATGTTGTTTTTAAAAATACAATTACACATAATTGTTTTTAAAAAAGTACAATTTTTAAACAATTAAAATAAGTAGATATATTTATTAATAATAATATAATATTATAATGCATTAATACAATTAATTACTATGTATACATTTTTCTTGCCTTGGATGAAGCAAATTTATCAATTACTTCATCAAAGTCGATCCTTTTAAATTCTTCTCTTTCTTATTTAAAAGTGCCAGATGACTTAGGGGATCTTGTTCCATCGTTAATTGTAAATATGTCAAAATTAATTTTAATTTGCTGAACGAATGTTCATAGCTAGCATTTGATAATGAAATAGTAAGGAGTATTTGAAGTGGGACTCTTATGTTTGGGAAAACATTTTCTCTATAGATCTGTAATGGAGTTTTAGAACATCTTGCTGACATATTCACTGCTGAAAACAGTTAGGGGATATTATGGTAAGAAATAACCATATAATCAATAACCTTTTTAAGAAAAGGAAACAGAAGAGATTATAAAGGAAAATTATAATGCGTATAAAGTTGGGAATATGCAAATTTATCCTGTGACCTCGAAAACTATGCGTTTTAGATAAGGAGTAAGGAGCAACCTGCAGCATTCCGTTTGTATAGTGATCATTAATTTTAAATGCATTTTCCAGAAATCGATCAAAATAAAACCTTAAATTTTCCGGAAAATCTTGTTAGGAGATCATTTGGCACCCCCTTGCAAGCGGCGCTTGGGGCATCATACACCCCCTTGCTCCCCCTCGCTACACCACTAATTAATAGTTGTGCAGCCATACCAGACAAAATTATTTTGTGTTGTGCTATCGATTTCTTTTATAATGAAATGTATTAATGCAGAGTCTGTTATTACTACAGTTGTGAAACTCCTCCATGCTTATTAGACATTCCTGAAGTGATTCCTTGTGCTTTATTTTACAGTTCATTAGCATTTCATGATATTGCACAAAATTCCAAGCTAAATCAAATACATCAATACATCTTTCAGTTTATATTACATTAATTTTCATTTAGCTTGTTTCAATTTCAATAAGCATCAAAGCATAGAAATGAACTAAGTTTTTGAGCAGATATATTTAATAATTGTGCAACATTTTTTTAAATTTCTAATCGAGTAATATTTTAAAATGGATCTGTGTTAAATGGAGGCAGGATAGTTCTAATGTAAATAAAATTAAATGACTTTTTTTTTTTTATTTTTTGATATAGTGCATTTATTTTTTGATATAGTACAAACATATTTCACGAATGCCTGTATTTTGTTTTCAATTTGTATAGATTGTGTGTATATGTTATTGCTTTTTCACTGTACTGCTGATTTTAGGCTATGCTTATCATCTTCATTTTTTCAAGTTATATTATCTTGTACAATATTTGCATCAAATAATCTGAAATCTCTCAACTAAGAAAGGATGTGCTCATTCACATCTACTAGTGATTTTTTTTATTGGACTATCCAAAATAGTACATATAGTTAACAACTCATTAACAGAAAATGACTGCTATGTTTAATTTTTTTACTGTGCGCCATAGCTTTAAACAGAAACCTTTCAAAATTTGTAATTCGATTTTGATTTTTCTATCAATGTTAGTTTAGAAAAGGAGTTCATATAAAGTTTTTACTCTATAGTAAAGTACTCTAGAAATTTGGAAATGCTGTAAAATCATTTTGAACTAACATGTAACAGTAATGCTCAGTAAGCTTCAAGAAAAATGGTTTTTCAAAATACTGGAAGCATGTGCAAGCCAAAGAATAATGTTTATCAAAGTCAGTCAGCATAAAATCTTTGAATCCTATTAATATAGGTGAAAATAATAACCATGGGTTTTATATTCTTATAGCTTATTTGTTTTTTGAATTTGCCTTACTGTTTATTTCTTCTTCAGAATTTTTCACGTCAGGAATAAAGGATAACTAGAAAGCAGATATGTATGAAATGTCACTTAAGGTTAAAAGAAACACTTAAATTCGCAAAAAATTATACACTCTTTTATTAATGTTGTGAAAGAGTCTGAATTTATTTTTTCCTTTCTAGGCTGCCGAGTGGTTGAGTTCTTCAGATATTAAAGGCATTGCTTACAAGTAATAATATGAAATTTTTAAAGCTGTTTGTTCTAAAATTTTTATAAAATTTTGTTAGATTTTGTGTAAATATAATAATAAAGAAAAATGTGCTAATTCTTTGTTAAGTAATTATATTTTTTTAAAAAAAGTAAAAACTAAATTTTTAGTGATGGAGTATTGCAAAGTTCACAGATATGTAATAATACAACAGGAATCCGTTTTTCTGTGTTATTCAATCTGGTAATAAGTACTCTTATCTGCATCATCTCAGAATCACTTCCTGTTGTTCAAACATTGTTATATACTGATAATTAAGTGATCTGAATACCAGGCTCTGATGTTCTTAATTCTGAGGTCAAATTAGATAATATTATGGACTGCTTGTCAAAGGATTTGGGAAATGAGTTCTTAATCAATGTTGAAAAAACTAATATTTTTTTTTTTTTTTCTTTGAGTACCAAAAATATAAAATTAACCAAAGATAATAACAATCAGTAGTACTTCCAAAGAATTGGTAATGCAAAATATTTGGGCATTATTCTTTATAGAAGTTATGGAATAAAATCATTTCAATTTCAGTAATTTAAAATAAATCATGTCTTCTATCTCTGCTTAAGAGACTTGCTGGAATGTAATGGTAAGCATCAAAAGAGGTTCTTACATCTTACTCCTATACACATTGGGTCTTTGATTATGGCGCCAAATGTGTTATCATTGCCTCTATATGTATATTAATCAAAACTTGATGTAATATCAAGTTTTGTTTCCAAAACAAAGTAAATTTGATTCCAAAGTCAAAATAGAACTCTACGTCTTCTTAGTGATGCTTAAACTCTACATCGATCCTTGCTATGGAGTTACAAACTGGTGTTGGCTGTTTCAGCAAACTGCAATTTTATGTGCCATTTTGTCTCTTGGAGAAAAACTGTTACATGAAGAAAACTGTTACATGAAGAAAACTGTAGGAGATTTCTGCTATCACATGGTAAAATTGAAGACTCATTGCATTTTTCTTATCTGAGTTGTATAAGTATATTGAATCAATAAATACAGTCAAAAGTCGTTAATCTGGACTCGTCAGGACTTCGGCGGTTCCAGATTATCGATTTTTCCGGATTATAGATCATCAGTTTAAATCTGGTAAGATGGCATGCAGAAATTACAAAATTAAAAAATATGAAACCGTAATTTATGAAATAAAGAACAATTATGATCTAAAGGGTATCAAAATTTACAAAAAGAAAAAGCTTAATATTTATTTGTTTACTTTATTAAACATTTCTTTCAATGTAAGTTGCTTCGTTTCATGTGATAATACTTTCTCTTTAATTCTATTAAACAGACATAATTGTTTAGTTACAAAGTTCCGCTGTTCAAGTCCTATAATTGCTGTGTTGAGAATACCGACTAATTTGTCAATCGAAATGTTTTCGTTTTCAATAACCTCTGGGTCACTTTCTTCACTATCGGAAGCGAATTATAATGACAAGGAACTTGATTTAAATCATATCAAGACGGAGTACATCGAGATGAAATACTACACTTAGTAAGGAATTATAAGCCAAATAAAATAAAAACATCTGCCCTGAAGATAAGGATAGTGCTGACAGATCAACTTCCAATCCGTGGCGTGAAATTGATAAACAGATTTCGGATTTCAAAACATACTTTCGCTTTGTAGATACAAATTACATATTAGTAAATATATATCGGAAATTCTATTTGACATAATCGAAAGTTCAAGCTTACTTTTATGAAATTGCTCTAACAGTCTGCAAAAAATAATAAGCAGGATCCAATTCGTAGATTAAGGAACAACGCAATCTGCAACATTAACTGAATTAGATAATTTTAGCTTACCTCCGTTACACATTACACGCGCATGCGCACAAACATATTCGCAGCCGTAAAGGTCTTACGCGCACTTGTAAACACCTTGCATGAACCCAACGCATGCGCAGAAAGTTTGTAGCTTTGAGGTCCGGATTGTGGGTGTCCGATTTAACGACTTTTGACTGTATTAAAAAATTTAGGGATACAAATTTCAGTCTAAACACTTGTTTGGGCATGTTGAAATATGCAATTCCAAAACTTGACTGTGTACCTCCCAGTTCATTAAAATATATTTTCCCTAGTTGAATTTAAATTTATCACTCTTGCTACTAGCCAGAAAAAATATTCTGTTGATGGCTAGATGTATATCTATGCATATAGCATTTCTCCAATTTGTCTAAATTGAAGAAATTTTGAGCTTAAGCTCAGATTAATTTGATGAGAAAATTGTTGCAATTTATCTGGGAATCCAAAGATTCCTTGACAGATCAAAACAAAAATTGCTCACTGATAGATGCATATCATTAGAATTTGGATCTTTCAGTCGTTTAGTATCATTCCAAAGTAATCATTCAATCTATCATAATATGCCAATAGAGAAGTAGTTCTTCATTGGATTCATAGCCTTTATGTTTTGTCTGGAAACAGATAAACCTGGAAACAAAGTTTCTGTCTCCTGAGCCGTTTTACTCACCTACTCAGTTAAGAACCCCCCCCCCCCAAATAAATAAAACTTAAACAAAATGTGAATAAAAAATGAGCATTTATGTACAGTGTGTTGAAAAACGTTTCAGGACATTTCTTAATCTAGTCGATTGATCAGCAAAATTCAACTTGCATTTTTCATCTCTCAGAAACACAACTTAGGGTATAAGTTAAATTCATATATACCTTTGCTCTAACATGGCTTTTGATACAAAATCAAACTTTTTCTAATGTGACTTACTGAATTTTGTCCATGTACCTAAAGTTATGTACAAATACCAAGTATGGTAAAATCATACAATCCCTTTTGGAGATATCTGCATTTATAACTTGGTGCTTATTTTCAACTAAACATTATAAATTTCATTTAATAATTATCAAGCTTAAGCCTTTTTTTTTACCAACTTGCCATTTTTTAAAAAATGTTTCTTCAGTGAATGAACATGTGCTAAAATCTTCCAGATCTTTAAAAACTCATGTTTTTTATTCTACATTTTAAACATAAAATTAAAACTTTTTTTTAATATAAAAAATTTTGCAAGCTGTTTATTTTAAAATAAGTTAAAATGTTGCATAATTATTTAGAGAATTTTTTTAAAAAATAAGTTCCTTTAAAATTTGTTTTGTTTGGCAGCACAATTTGATATTTACGATCATCTGCTATGTCAAAAATTCAGAATTTGAATTTAATATATGATTAAAAATGTCTGTGCATTCGAAAAAATATCAATATGTGGGAAAAGTAAATGTTAAATAGACCAGACTAGTTATTACTATTTATCAAATAATATCGTTAACTTTGAATTTAATTTTGAATACAGTATACTAAAGGATTAAAGTAAAGATTTTTGCATAAGATATTAGGAATTAATGCTCATTAAAATATGTTTCATATTTCTTATTATGATATGAAAATATATGTAGTAGTTTGCTGATAGCATTCATTCTGATAAATTATCAAATGGGGCCAAGTTATCAAAGGAGGTCCACCAGCTGCTGACTAATAAAAGCTGCTGAACAATGGTATTTCAGTCCAGGCTTTGAGTCCCAGTGAATAAGTTGGCTGCATGGCATTTCATAATTTTGCCCATGTGTAACTTGAGTATGAGCCAATTTCTCTTAATTATTCCTCCATGGGGCATCCCTCCCTTTCTATGTAGTGCTTAATAGTGCATGTGATAAATACAAAACAATTATGAGTGAACACAAATTTTTAATTCAATTATAAACTGGTCAAGCTGTGCTTAATAGTGCATGTGACAAATACAAAACAATTATGAGTGAACACAAATTTTTAATTCAATTATAAACTGGTCAAGCAGGTTGTAACGTTTAATTAAAATCATCATAATTCAGCTTCATGCAATGAGGCATGAATTTCTTATAAGGGATATCATAGGGAAAATATATCTTTTTTACAGAGTGCATTTCATGACACAAAGAATATATTTCAGGGAATGATATACCGTGCAATTTTCTCAATAACGGTATAGGATTTTTCAGCAAGCTTCAGAATTCCTCGTTAAAGCTCTCTCTTTATCTGCGAAAAACTGAAGAAAGTGCTGATTTACAGCCTGTCCATAATTGAATATTATACCATGCAAGGACTGTTGAAGAGAGAGAAGCAAGTAAAAGTCAGACAGTGCAAAATCAGGTGAATATGGAGGTGTGGCAACGCATCATGTCCAAGCTCCAAAAGTTTGTAATGGGTGACTAGACTTGTGTGTGGTTTCGTGTTATTGCGATGGAACATGACCCCTTTATGATTAATGAGTTTGGATCATTTCTGTATGATGGCTTCGTTCAGGCTGACAGAACACTTTGCAAATGATCTTTCAGTACTTAACTTCTTAAGTAGAAGTTTAAAAACACCTTAAAAATCCCACACCACTGAGAGCATAGTATTTCTCTGATGACTGTCTGCTTTCAATTTTGTTTGAGGCAGATTACCTCTTCCAGACCATGAAAGCTTGCACACCACATTGTTGTACACAACCCACTTCTCATCACCAGTTATCATTTGCTTCAAAAAAGGTTAATTTTCCTTACATTTAATGAGCATGTAGCATATGTTATCCATACCATCAAATGAACTTCTTTTACCTCATGAGGAACCCACCCATTGAGCTTGCTTATGTATCCCAGTTTTTCAAATGATTGTGAACAGTTGAATGAAGAATGTTCAATGTTTGTGCAGTCTATCATGTTATGTAATGGTGGTTTGACTCAACTAATGCTTTTATTTGGTTGTCTTCAATTTTGGTTGGCCTTCCTGATCAAGGGACGTCATCGAGATCAAAATCACCAGCACGGAATTTCGTAAATCAGTGTTGGCACTGACATTCAAGTGGAGCATTATTGGCGATAACATTACTCAACTTTTCACAGGCTTGTCATGTACTCTTTGCTTTCAAATATAGGGGTAATTCAGCTTTTGATCTTCCATTTGTTGTCAAATCTGTTAAAACAAACCAAATAAAGATCAATATTAGTACACATGATTCTTAACATCTCAGCTATTTAGGATATAATAATTGTATGTATGCGAATAACTCTAGTACTTCCACAAATAAACATTTGCCATCTTTTACCAAAATATTTAATGACTTTTCTGACAACCCTATATTTTACTTTCTTGCAGAGTATCTGATGGTTAAATTAAATACTATTAGAATTAAAGCCTAGGATAAAATGTTTGATGATGATAAAGCAAAGAATGATAGTATTTGTGATTTTTATTGCATCATTTATTTTTAAATTTAGGATATAAAAAGCCCACACATTGAAAAATACCTAATATTTTTTCATTTCTGTAAAAAATAAAAAATCAGTTTCTTGCCATTTTCAAATTTGCTGTGTGCTGTATCCTTGATTGCTTATATTCTGAAAGAGAATTTCACATCTTTTTCAGGTGTTTAATTATCAATTTATATAAATGACAACCTGTAAAATGTCAACTTGCAAACAAGGCCTGGTGAAGATAGTCTGGTTCCTAAGCAGAATGTTCAAATGTTCATCTCCATAGTTTATATAAAGAGAAAACAAGATTATATAGAATTATATGATCATTATGGGGTCAATAAAAGTTGGAGCCATATTGGCTTAATTTTATTGATTAAATTAAAGTTTGAAATGCTTTCCTTTATTAATATTGCAGAGCATATCAGGATTAAGATTAAATTTGAAGCAAAGCAGCTTAGTCCTGAAGATTTTAACAACATAAATAACAGAATATACAGGTTGTGGCAGCAATTCAAGCCATTTTAAAAGCATTGTGTACGTGTGTCACTTTCATCTCTCTCTGTAGTTTGGTTGTACTTCAATGCCTCTAGTCTAACAAGCAGTCTCTAGAGACAGCTCTAATAGCCATCATATGACTGTGCAAAATCAGTCACCTGCTATCTTGTAGTATCCTAAAAAAGTTTAGTTGTAATGGAACAAAGAACAGTATGTTTTTTGCTGTTGAAGCATTTTACAAAAAATGGTGGCAATTACATAATCATTCAACATGAATATCGAAGCCATTACAGAATTGTTAGTTCATCATGGGTGGAAGAGAATAGTATTTTATTTATAGCCGCAGCAACACACTGCTTTCAAAGGGCTAAATTTGTTAATTAAAACTGAAAAATAAATATCTTACATTTTTCCAAATGGCAACAGTCTTGTGCACTAGAGGAACAAATGTTTTATTTTGAAGTGTTGCCACTGCTCACTTTCGGAGCATTGAATTTGAGAATAAAAAATTCATTCGAGTTTTATAATATGAAATAAATAATAAAACAACTTCAAAATTTGGGGTGCACATGTTTGGGTGGAGAACTATGTTATTCAAAATTTGATGGCTCTACATACTGTTGTTGTTTCACAGTGCAAGCAACATACATACATATATGCAGATTCTTCATTATTTAATTTCTTTAAAAATAATGCAGCCTGATAGTATTTGGCGGCAGTAATTTGAAAAGTGATATACTGTTTATAGTGAACCAACATAAAATCCCATTTTGAGATTAAAAGCCTCTTTTGTGCTAAAAAAACCTTGACTTTTTTTTTTATTATTTTAGACTCATTCAATTATTACACATTAAAAGTGTTAAATGTGAATTTGGTACAAATACGGAATTAATAGAAAAGATAGATTTGAATTTAAATACTTTTATGATTAAAGGTATTTTAAACAGTTAAATAATCAGTTCAGATTTGCAGTTTTAAAATTTACATTTTTTCAATAATAAGAAGAAATACATAATTTTTACCACATAATTAGTAAATTTAAATATAAACTGCACTGGACTGTCCTACAGAAATTCCATCTGCATGTGATAGATCATGTCTAGTGTGATTCTAGCAGTGGCACCTAATGATCATTTTCGAATAAGTGGTTGTGTCCCATAAGTTTGCCAAATATTGTGTTGAATACTTATAACAAGTCCTGCATATCACTTTTTTAGTGCAGATTCCATCTTCATGCCAACTTACTGGTGAAAGGCAAAAGCCTCATAACTGTTGAGCAGCTTCTATAGTTAACTTCTATAGTGAGCTGTTAAGGTTACCTCACTTATCCATATAGTTAAAACTTCGGCACTTTCTAATTATTTTGATGTAAAAACTAAGAATATTGAGTTGCAATAAAAAGCATGATGTGGTGATTTAATAACAGCTGTATTTTTTTTTTCTTATTTTTAATGAGTGTGTGAACTGAATGGATCTAAGGAAATCAACATTTTAATATTGAGCCTCAGAAATAATGTATCAGATTATATGCAATCATGTAAAAAATGTAAAGTAACACTAGCACATTGTAAAAGCAGAAACAAATAAATAAATATAGAGCTTGAAGTAGAAGTATATAATATCTGTATAGCGTAGTTTTATGTTCTACAATAAAAAGAGCAGTGCATAAGAAGGCTGAGTGATGGTAGAATTGATGATGCTTAAAGAATCATAAAAAGTTTGCCTGGTTGCAGATATCAGATTGGAATCTAGGAAAAAGAAGGGAAAAGGATAAGCTATTAACATGTTGTTATTTACCTCTTATGAAAAGAGTCATGTTATTAACTTTTATAACTCATTGTATGTTGCTTGTCTTAGTGTCAAAGGATTATATGTGTTATAGCTGATAAAGAAAGCTCAAGGTATGCCATTATGCTTAGATAATTCATCTAGTTTTTTATTGCGGAATTTTATCTGGATGTGCAAACATACTGAAAGTCTACTTTATATTTACATATTTGGTAAGACTCGCCTAACGCTAGATGGCGCTGAGAGCGCCATTGAGTGTGTGCTGAGTCTCGATGGAAGTTACTTGATGGATGATGTGCGATTTCTGAGATTGAGATATTATTATATTTAATTAAATCAATTTATATTTTATTGATTGGTGATTATTGATTTTGATTTATTAATATGAGATGTGATATTATGTTTTGCTGAACCACCACACTTTCAACAAACTTGGAGTACCACTGAATCTCAAAACCACCGATGTGCAATATTTTTTTTAAATTATGTTTATACATTTCTGCAGTCATTTATTACTCAAACTAGAAGCTTAATTCTTTTCACTGCTCTGTCTTCTCTTTTCTTTTCAAAAAGACAGTTTCCTTTGATTAGCAAAAATGCTGTTGTTCAAATTCCAGGGAATGGGCTGGCTGCATGGACGTTTTCGTGGTTTTTCCCATGTGTAATATGTATTCAAGTCTGTAACTCATAACTGGAGTTTCAAACCTCTGTTATTTCTTCATTGGTGTTACTAAACACTGCTAAAGAATTTTTTCATAAATGAATAGTTATCATTTATTTCATTTTAGGTTAGAGGAAAATTTACGGCCTGTGCATTTAAAAAAATTTGTTATTGGCTATCCGTGTCCTGACCATATGTCGGAATTTCGTTTTGATCTGATGCTGAGCTACAAGTTAAGCCATGTTATTCATTCATACTCTGAAAAGAAACCAACTTTAGTGGTAAGTTGTTTAACATAAATACTTCTTATTTAAAAATTCACCTGCATTAATTGTATTCTATTATTTTAAGGTAAACAGTGTTAAACGAAAATTTATGAAACTTCTGATGATTTCCATTTTGATGCTTATTCTTCCCTCCTCCCATTGCAAATTTTTCTGTCACTACTTTTTACGTCTTTCTCCCTTTATTACTGAAGAGGTAGCTTATTATGTTCATTATTTAAGCTATCTCATTTAAAAGCACTTATTTCTTGTGTTATTATGCAGGAAAATTACTATCCATGGATTATTTAAAGGAATTAAAAAGAACTCCATTGATAATAAAAAAACTGATGCATTTCTACATGTCATTCTTTTGTTCTTTTGTAACTGAGAGACTTTCTAGTTTATAGTTATACTGGGGAAAAAAAAAAAAAAACAGCAGTTTGAATTCAGGCCTGCAAATTATGGATATCATCAAATTGTCATAGTGTAGACCAGTGGTCTTCAAACTGTATTCCATCGAAGCGAGGGATCTTGTGAGTCAAATTGCAGGGTTCCACAGGTCAAAGTAAAAATTTGATATATGCCATTTGTCAAACAGAATGACATGCAATGTGTTGCAAAACTAGACAGTTTTCTAATGGAAAATTAATTAAATTTAGACAACAGTGTTAAAAAGCATATAATGGAGCTCTTTTTTTCAATTGAAGAAAACTATAAGAGATTATTTCCCATGAGAGAAAACTAAGTGTGACTAGATAAAAACTCTTTGAGTACTGTGATAAATCAGAAGACTTGCTAGTAAAGAATAGGGAGCAACTTATCAACGGATTCATGTTAAAAATTTGAATTTAAGAAATGGCAGCTCCTAAGTTTTGGTTGCAGACTCTTGCAGAATACCTAGTTTTTCACACTGCTGCATGGGGCTGTTGCTATATGAGTGAGTAAACCTTATTCTAAGTAACCTTTAAATTAATTAAATGATTTAGACAGATGAGCATTACATGTTATTGAAAAAGGCATAGTGTCAATTACTGTTTTTTTATTAAAGTTTTTAACTAGAGTTTTTTAAAGGTATATTTAAAACATATTGAAAAATTAGAGTGGTACATGCAGTTAAAATGAAGCTAAAAATTAAATAAAATGTTCCAGGTTGTCATGCTAAAACCATATTTAAACATTAGTTCAATCGGTTTTTGTAGCCAATCTGCCTGCTTTGTCGGTTTGAGCTGTAATGAATGTCTCAATGCAGTTGTGTTTTTTTCATAGTTTCCTGTAGAATTGCTATATATTTCAGAACTAATATCCAGTTATGTTAGGGAAGGTATCTGTTGTAACATAGATTAGTAGCAATTTCTAGTGCTTTTCTGATTTTAAGGCTGCTTTTATGCCAGGGTTTGCTAATGATTTTGGCAAACAAAATTTTCCACGTGTTCCATATAAATTTCAGCCAAAATGTAGGCCATTGACACTTCCATGAAGAAACAGTCTTCCAGTTTGCAAATCGGCTAAACACTGTAAAACTTTGAGTTGAAATAGAAGGCATAGTAGTAATTCCTTATAAATTTTTATGTCATTTTTACTTTTTTTTTAATCAAGATTTTCACCAAAATCATGTGAGATTCAAATAAAGAAATGAATGGAAGCAAAGGTTTAATATGAATAATAAGCATGGTAACACAATGGTGCATTATTTTTGAAATTTGTGCATGCAATTCACAAATTTCATACACAAATGCATGAAGGGCAATATATCAAGTTGCAGAATATGCATTTGATATATTGCCCTTCATGAAAGTGAAGTATAGTTTGGAAGCGCTTTCTCGAATCTGCTTGATAGTGAAATTCTGTAATCTGATTTCTTGTAATCTGTTATGCACAATGTTACCAAGATATTGCAAATTGCATTTTGTAGTTTGTTGATGCTATCTCCAATAATAATAATACTGGAAGTCATAATAGCCAAATTGGAATTAAACCCTGTATTCCATAATAAGAATATAACTGAAATACTTCATTTCTTATTTTCCACAGATTCTTAATGAAAATAGTTGCTTAGGAAACAGTGAAACAAAACCAAAAAAAAAATGTCTCCCCTCTTTTTTGTTTCTTTGTCAGAAAGATGCGTAATAAACTTCTTAAAAAGACTTACTTCAACACAGAACGTAAGAAATGTCATTAATCTTTGAAAGCTTGAATGCTAATATATATCAGAAAGATTCTTTCCAAGGGTCCCATTGTTCTTCAAAAATAGAAAATAATGCTGGCCAAATTATTGCAAATAGGGGAATGGTTATCAAAAATGTCATATACATTAGAAACAAAATTAATCTGTGTTGGATAACATTGCTTCATGTTTTAATTTTTATTAAGAAAAAAATTCACTTTTAATTTAATGCTAAACTTAATGCACTCATGTTTATCTAACTTGCAACATCATGAATGATCAGAATAGAATGAGAGGGAATGTAAGGAATGGTTTAACATGTAAATGATTAGAAATGCAATCATAATTAAAATGCTTGTGCCTGATCTCAGCAACATCCTTTTAAATCTCCTGTGATATGTACAGACAGAGAATTATTAAGAGGTAGAATAAGTAGTATATATTGTTAGTGAGTTCAGAGTTGTTCTAAAGGTGTTACTATATCTTCTTGACATCAGATAGCATCATATAAGCAATTTAGTTTTCCACTGGAATGAATTACCAACCCGTATGAAAGAAAAAAAATTTAAACCATGGCATTTCCTCGTGCATGGAACATGATGCTAAGTAATATGAGGTGGAATTTATGGACTGAAGAGAATCAGATGAGTCAAAATTATAGCTATCAGCTATGAAATATGATGAAACATAGTCAACATTATCCTGTGAATATTAGATATTTCATGCTCATGGCAATAAAACTTTTGAGTGTCTTTTCTTGACATGCAACCAACTTCTCAAGTATCAATACAGCATTAGACCATGGTCACACCTGTGAATTGTAAAAGCAGCCACTGTCTGCTTTTATGATTCACTGATGTATACTCTGCAGAGCATTGTATTCTAATATTCTTGTGAAAAGGGTTCATTTGAGTGTGAACTATTAATTTTTTTGGTTACAGTAAGCACATGAATATAGACAGGTGTCTGCAGACTGGCAGCAGGTCATGTTTTTTAAATAGTTTGATTGTAACTGGGACTCCAGTGATGATGCTTATGCATTTTATAATACTGTGTTGCAGGCCAAGTTCCATCATGCAATTTTAAAGCATTACTCTGGAAGAACAACAGGCATTATGATGTGGGACACCATTTGTTATCTTAGATGATTCTGTCAATGGTACATAGTGAGTACTCTTAAATTATAAAACAGCTTGTAGAGTTGTAGAGGCTGAGGTTATACTTTCTCTTTAACACACAGCCAGCACTGTATTCCACCAAGATGGTGCGTAATCACATGTTACCCGAGATGTTCAAGCCGTCTTAGAACAAAGAGTTCTGCTACTTTTCTGGTTCATCCATTTCCCAGATCTGTCAGTGATTGAACTTATTTGGGTTATGGCATTTTGCAACTGACTAATCACTCTCCTTTAGCAATCAATACCAATGAACTGTGAATTCAGATCAGAGAAAACTAGTAGGCAATAACACCAGGAACACCTTTTGGTTGTCTATAATTGTCCACAAATTCTGAAAATGCCACCTCAGTCACCAGATTTAAACCCAACAGAACACATTTGGTGAGAATTAGAGATTAGAGTACACTGTAAAAAAAATCTGTAAGTTACTAAGAAAATTTGTGGAAACTGGGATGATGTGGACTATTTGAGTACTCAATAACAGGGATATTCTTCGTAACTTTACAGAGATTATACCTGCAAAGGTTACAAAGTTTTGACATGTAATGTTACACAAAGATATTCTGTAGGCATAAATTTTTGTATGTGGATTACCGAAGCATGTGTCTGTAAAGGTTACAGATCAAAGATCTGTAATGTTATAGGAAATAATTGTGTAAATATAACATAGTTTTCATATGTGGATTACTAATGTATACGTCTGTAAAGGTTACAGATATTTGATCTGTAATGTTACAGGAAATAATAGTGTAAGCAAAACGTATTTTTTTGTCTGTTGATTACAAAAGGGAGTATTTGTAGATTACTGATGTTCTGCTTGTAAAGTTATTGCATAATTTACTTTAAAGTTCTTCCAAATAATTATGCATATACAGTCTTTAATCTGGACTCATTGGGACTTCGGCGATTCTGGATTAGGGGTTTTTCTGGATTATAGATCATCAATTTAAATCTGGTAAGATAGCATGCAGAAATTATAAAATTAAAAATATGAAACCGTAATTTATGAAATAAAGAGCAATTATGATCTAAAGAGTATCAAAATTTAGACAAAAAAAAAAAAAAAAAAAAAAAGCTTAATATTTATTTTGTTTACTTTATTAAACATTTCTTTCAATGTAAGTTGTTGATGCTTCCACAAAAAATTCAAAAAGTTCCTTTTTCTTTTTTCTTGTGTCATCCAATGCCATACTCCTCGCATAATTTTGAGACAGATATGCCTTTATCCATTTTTTGCAGCAATTCCACTTTTTGTTTGATGGACATTAAAACATGCTTTCGCTTTGTATATCCTTTGGCAGCTCCAGAATCGGAAACTCTTTTTGACATAATCAAAAGTTCAAGCTTACTTTTTAGAAAATTGCTCTAACAGTCTGCAAAAAATAATAAGCCAGATCCAATTGGAAGATTAAGGAACAAAGTAATCTGCAACATTAACTGAAATAGATAATTTTGGCCTAGCTTATACCGTCCGTTATACATTAAACATGCATGTGTAAACGTATTATGCGCATGCATTACATTTAATGCACATATGCATTATTAAATGCATTTTAATATGCATATGTGTTATTAAACACATTATGCGTTTACGCATGGGCAGAAAGTTTGTAGCTTTGAGTTCCGGATTATAGATCATTCCGAATTATGGACATCCGGATTAAAGACTTTGT